GAGTACGGGCTGCTGTTAACGGCTGGGAACGGGCGGCGTGAACGTGGGAGCGCTGCAGGGAGCGCTGCAGGGCGTTCTGTGGCGCGGAAAGTGAAGCTGTTTTTAACAGCCTTCCGTTTTACCGAATTTCTGTGGTCTGGAAAACTGGGAGTACAGTTCTTGTCTGCATACTCCCAGTGAAGTTGTAGTAAGGCTTTACTAGTTAATATTGTCAGCGTGCATAAACTACAGTGCCTCTTGGATATATTAAGTGTTAGAAAATTATGCAAGTCAACAGTTTTTCAAAAGGCCATTACAAAGCAGTGCAATTAACTGCACTTAGTTTCATTTATTCAGTTGTGTTTTCTGTGCTTTTTGTGCATATTATGAATCAGATCATTTTCACAGCTATTCATATGGTCCCGAGTGTCTGATCATGGCATCATTTATATGCATATTAGCCCAAGAACACTGGATCCAAGGCTTCTGTCATTCTGCACTTACACAATAAAATTGTGCTGTCTTTAAGAATATTTTAACATACATCTGCCACATGAAATGTATCTCTCAAAGGGTTTTTGTAAAGAGTGAGGTTGCAAAATTTGTTCCCCCAGCAAGAGCCGACGCAACCCTAGTAATGTTAAATTGTCGCACGGATCGATCTGGACTTTGCCGCGGCCATTCCTGCGGGTGGGAATCCCGCACTGATCGGGGTCTTGGCGAGTCAGCACCAAGCAGAGCCCGGGCTGCGCAGGTCAGGTCCGTTCCGCGGATCCCGGGCGGGATGCGCGCGCTCCACCCTACACAGAGCCAGTGGGTCGTCCTGTACTCGGCCAACGCATCGCCAGTGCCGAGCGGGTTTCCTCCGTTCCTTGGCTGCCTTGCTGCACTTGGTCACGGATGGGTTGAGCTCTGCTGCAGTTACTCGTGTAGCAAAGCACTAATGTCACTAACCAGTGCTCCAGCAAAGCATAAAACGCTCTTCATCCTCGTAACGTCTAGTATTACCGTTCATGTTTAACTTTAGCTGGCTGGGACCCTTAATAGTTCCTAGAGTAAACCCTGTAATCGCTATCTTAAATATTTTCTAGGCCTGTGTTCATTCCTTGTACCCCACGCTACTCAGTCATGAAGCATTACTATAGTGAACAAGCAACTACCATTCCTTCAGTGCTTCATCCTAGAGCAATCCTCTCTTTAAAAGCCTGAAGAATCACTGGATGTGACATTTTTGTTGACTACAACAATATGACTTATCTACAAGTGATGCAAGATTTTTACCTTCTAAGAGGTTTCATGTGTTCTCTTT